TTTTGTTGTATCTAATAAATGAAAAAAAGAAAATATATTTTAAAGTGACATTTCACTTATTTTTTCACTTAACTCATTCTACTCAGTCGACGTCTTGTTTCCGTGCATACGAATAAATAACTAATTACGATTTGCATTTAGATTGAAAGTATGTTAAAGAGTTATTTAAGTGTGAAAAGGTGAAAAATATTGGCAAACGTTAAGAGATTGATTACTATGGGTCGCCGGAAGTTTGCAAAATGTTGTAATTACCGTGTAAATAGTGTAGTACCATGACGAACGGCGAATAATCTTGCACAATGCATAGTGAACAGTTGATAAACATGTTGAAAAATTAAACAAAACATACATAGATATTTACTACACACATTTTTGTGCAAGTGAAATTTCTTACGGAACTTCGGGCACGCTTGCGTTAAATGTTTAACACCAGCGTAAGGGGGAATATGGCGAATGTAAGGACAGAAAGGGATTGCCCTTGTGAGGGGGAGAAGAAGAGAGAAAAATAAAGAGAGAGACAAACACGCATAACACATAAACAAAATCTATTTTCATATGGGAGAAAATGCGCAAACCTCTCGACAAAGAAAATCTCAAAAAGGGGCGATCAAGCAGTTGGCGGAAGATGCAATCAGCGGTGAAAGGTGGAAGGGAGGTGCAAGAGAGTACTGCCCCAGGGTTCGGTTCTGGGCCCAATACTTTGGAATATTATGTCGATGGTGTGCTCCGACTATCCTTGTCGAAACGAGTGAAAATTGTTGGATGTGCAGCCGACATAGCGCCAAATGTGGTATCTAGAAAAAATAAGTCCGGCAGCAAATAGTTCAATCGTTCAGATTCAAGCACGGCTGGCCGAAACAGGACTCGAACTTGCGCACCAAAAAACCGAGACAGTTCTAGTAAACTGCATAAAGGCCAGAGAAGTGGCGGCTATAAACGTTGGCGAACAAGAAATTACCTCAAAGGCGGCCTTAAAATACCTAGGCATAATGTTTGATATATGAGGCTTACTTTCAAAACGAACAATGATTACGCGGTCGAAAAAGCCGAAAAGTGGCTGCTCCCCCTCCGCCCTTAAGGTAGTTTAACGGTGGGAGGAAAACTGAGCAGGTGTGGGTTTTTAGTGCGGTGAGCCGAAAGGCAAGTCCTTTTCGGCTTTCAGTGCTTTGTGTCACCTCTACAAAAAATCTATATACAGTACATAAATTAAAATAACAAATCAATATAGGGCTTCAATACTACTGATCTGTACTTTTTGTTCTTTATATACTGACAAATTCGATCTTCAAAGACTTTCTTAAGTTTCCTCAATGCATTACGACAACAAATTGCTCATGCGTCATACACATAGACGCGTCATGTACAAGTCTCGTTGTTCTGCTTAAATCAGTAGCCGGTTTGGTGGCTGCATGGCGTGCATATGACCAGAAATCGCTGCACACAGCTGCAGTCTGTTTACACATTACTCATGTGACTCCGAACGAAAAGAGTGTCGCGTGAAAGTGGTTTAACGGCCCAGACGCTCAAATTGTTGTAACCGTCAATTACTTTTCATGTAGTCAGTGAGGCCAGAAAAATTGTTTCTCAGTCATGATAAAATCTTCAAAAAAAAACATAAAAACGTTACTGAAACTAGAAAAAAATCTTGTTTCTCTAGAAATATCTTCATTGGAATTTTACAACAAAAAAAAAAAACAGTTGGGGTATTCACAACGGTGTCGTAAGTGTAGTATTGTTGTATGTCGTAAACTTTAAACGCCTAAAATATATATTAAGAGGGGTCGCAAAGTACCATCAAAGTCATATTGTGAATTTTTTTAAAGTTTACGACATACAACAATACGACACTTACGACACCGTTGTGAATCCCTCAAGTGTTTTGTATTAAAATTGTATTTGTTATACAAAACCTTTTAAATTATCATTTGTATAAAGAATACCACTTAAGGTAGTCATTCTCGCTATTGGATGATGATGTTTCTGTAAAGTTAATTACAGAAAATTTAATTTGTTAATTTAAATTTAGAAACCAAAGTTACTTACCATTTTGTTTTAACAAATAGCGATCCTTACTTTTTATCTTGTGTGGAAATTCATAAAGCCGAGTGTGAGCTGCACAAAGCCGAGTTTGAGCGCGAATTTCGACAGGCAAAATCAATTCAAAAACATATTCATAAAACTCGAAATTAATATCTACCTGTCGTGCAAGGTAAATTGATGACAAAACGAAAAGTTTGTTGCCAACCATCCCAAAAAAATAAATCTTCAAGCGGTGGCAGATATCTTCACTGCCAAGATTTTTTGTATGGAGATTTATTTTGTTGTAATTATCTTCATGTGAAGATTTTTCTCATTATTTATGAAAAATATCTTAATTTTGAAGATAAATCTTCACTTCTGGCAACACTGGTTGTAGTATATAAATGGGTTAACAATTCTCGTTTGGTCCACTTCCTTCATGGCTGTACCAAGGGCATTGAAAAAGGCATGAAATCAATTGGTGCAGTTATCTTATTACATTAAACGAGCAATGCTTGTATAATATATAGTGCTACGATTTTTTTGCATTTTAAGGATATTTAAATAAGTATTATCTCTGAGGATATTCGTAAAAGGTTGCCACCTATTTTATCTACAATTAAAATAAAATATCATAATATTGGTATCTAATGGAAGGAGTTTAAAAAATCACCGATTCAGAAATATTCTGGAATGGCGTTGCCAGCTATTTTGAATCGCATATTTGTTAAATTTTTTGTGTCGAAAATAAAGGTACAATATTACTATTAATGGGCATTAAAAGGTTCTTAAACAATACTTTGCCTATATACTAAGTGTTATCCTAAGTGTATACCTTGTGATATTAGTGCAAGGTTGCCACTCATTCTCGATTCTAAAAAAAATAACTAAAAACTCGCAATATGGATATCAAATGAAAGGTATTTGTGGGAACTTTAGTCCGAAAATATTTTCGATGAGGGTTGCCATGTTTCTTTGTTAAATAAATTTGTATATTGTTAATTTCCATAATACGGTAGCAAGAATCGCCTGATGTGAACGGCCTTTCAAATTACCGTTGTATGTATAAGTACACTGTACTTATTCGCTCAAGATATGCAACATTCATCCCAGCGTATTTCTAAATAGGGTTGCCACCTAATTTTTAATGTAAAAAAGATACTTTATAAGATGGCAAAAGTTTATTTTTTAATTTATTTCCAAAATATTATTTTTTAAGCTACCCAAAGCTTAAGCTACCAGTATTTGAAACCCAAACCTTGCATCTTTCAAAAGCACATGCACCTCGAGCAAAACTCGGCCAACCTGGTACTACTATTTATGAGATAATATACTGAAATTGAAGGTGTTAGCTCTTCGAGTGAAAGAAATTTGAATACATTTCTTAAGAAAATAATGTACGTAATAACGTAACCGTACTTTGCNTGTGGGAACTTTAGTCCGAAAATATTTTCGATGAGGGTTGCCATGTTTCTTTGTTAAATAAATTTGTATATTGTTAATTTCCATAATACGGTAGCAAGAATCGCCTGATGTGAACGGCCTTTCAAATTACCGTTGTATGTATAAGTACACTGTACTTATTCGCTCAAGATATGCAACATTCATCCCAGCGTATCTCTAAATAGGGTTGCCACCTAATTTTTAATGTAAAAAAGATACTTTATAAGATGGCAAAAGTCTATTTTTTAATTTATTTCCAAAATATTATTTTTTAAGCTACCCAAAGCTTAAGCTACCAGTATTTGAAACCCAAACCTTGCATCTTTCAAAAGCACATGCACCTCGAGCAAAACTCGGCCAACCTGGTACTACTATTTATGAGATAATATACTGAAATTGAAGGTGTTAGCTCTTCGAGTGAAAGAAATTTGAATACATTTCTTAAGAAAATAATGTACGTAATAACGTAACCGTACTTTGCACTTCTTACCTTTCACCACATAATTGATGAGTTTTAATACAATTTTAGGGGATTCACAACAAGTAAGCGTCGTAATGCCTCAAAGTCGTAAACTTTTTAATGTAAAATAGCAAGTAAAATACTTGTTGAGGATTCGCGGGCTTATTATATTTCCTGTTATTACTGCTACGTTTTAGCTTTATTTTGCATTAAAATACAGTATCGGTCATATCAATAGCACCCCCATTTCCAAGCGAAATTGTTTGTCACTCATGTTTATTTATTTTAAAAATTTTTTAATTAAAATTTAGTTCATTCCCTAACAAAATCCACATAATTCCAAGCTTGAAACTTTGTAGAAAACTAAAAACTATATTCAACGAATTGTCAATCCAAATTTCAAACTATGTGTTGCAGTTTTCTTCCATATAAATATGTGTTTGTTGGTTATTCATATTCTAGTTGAAGCTCGAATTTTGACAGACGTGAAGGAGGGAGTCGCCTGTCGTGTGAACAAATTGGTGTTATGACAGCAAACGTATCTTAAATTATTTGAAGTCGCTGTAGATTTGAATTGAATTTTTGGGATACAATAAAAATCAGTGAATAATGGGTTTAACAAAAATTAACTATATTAACTACCACTACATCATAGCAACTACAAGCTTTTGCAGTTTTGAGGCTGCTACTGCGTTTTGTATTTTGGGCGAAAGAAATTCCAAATAATCGGCGAAAAAAGGCCGATGCCGATGCTTAATTTTGTGCCTATACTAGCCGATGCGGATGCCGATTAATCGGTCGGACTCTACACTGTAGACATAACTTCAAATATTTCCGTCGGCATTTTGTTCTTCTTTGTAAGGAATTTGATGACAGCTCTCTACTCCAATTTCGCACAATGTGCCGAAGACTCACACATGTTGATGCTTACGGCACAATTTATGAAAGCGCAATGATGTTGATGACATTCGGTATTTATATTATTAAGGATATTAGCAATTAGTTACGCGCAGGACAAGACGTTAGGCTCAAAACTTGTCAGCCTCCCCTCGTATGAATAGCATTGTAGGTGACAAAAATGGTGCTAACTATATTTGAAACCTGGCCTTTGTAAAGACTTAAATTTGAACTTCTACATAGGCATCTTTTCTTAAAGTATATACTTTCATATGTAAATTCAGTACGTTATATCATCTTTTTATTGAAATAGAAATTTTAGTTTTATATTAACGTCTGTCTTATCTTTTTTCCACAGTTATATCGCTGGTCGCTTTAAAATAATCTCAAATTCCGAAACCAAGGGCCTTGGCACATTTGTGGGCACATTCGCGTTGCCATCACTGATCTTTCTTTCGCTGATCGAGCTTAATTGGAGTACAGTGAATTGGACCTTTCTGCTGGCGATGACGATTTCCAAGACTATCGTCTTCGTTGCTGTACTAGTAATTTCACTACTCATTACGCGTCCACTCAATTACGCGCGTGCCGGTTTGCTCAGTATTTTCTGTACGCAAAGTAATGATTTCGCGATAGGCTATCCAATTGGTATGTACTGCTATATTTACATATTTTATTAAATAAGTCAACGAACAATTTCTTTTGTTGCTTGCAGTGATGGCCTTATACCAAGATGTGCATCCGGAATATGCTTCGTATTTGTATTTGATGGCGCCCATCTCATTGGCGCTGCTTAACCCCATCGGCTTGGTGTTTATGGAAGTCTCCAAAATTATTAAAACCAAAGCTGAGGCGGTATGTCACTTGTGATTTTACAAATTTCTATGTACTTACTTATGTAGTCTAATTTGAAACACTTTCAGGTTCAAGAGGCAGCCATCTGTCCGGACAATTGTCCTGCTGAACAGCTATCAAAGCGGAATCGCTGTCTGGGTGAAAAGCCGTTGCTTGTCTTGCATACGCTTAAGTCGTTATTTTTCAATCCTATGCTGCTAATGACGGTACTCGGTGTTGGCGGCGCTTTTGTCTTTCCTAATGGTTTGCCCGAAGTAGTTGCGAGCACGCTGCGTGTCTTCGGTCAGTCATTCTCGGCCACAGCGCTCTTTTTGCTGGGCTTAAAGATTGTTGGCCAAGGTGGTTCGCTGCGCGGATCAGGCTTGCTGCTACCCGGTATATTGATACTGGTTAAAATGTAAGTTAGCGAAGTGTTGCATACATTTAGGTGACCAACTTAAACGGTTTTGAAATTTAATTGCTCAGATTGGTGCTGCCGCTAGTGTGCCGGCAGACAGTGAACATCATGCAGGCGGGCACAGATTTCAACGATACAACAGAATTGAGCACTTTTGGCTTTTTGTATGGCACATTTCCAGCAGCGCCGGGCGCATTCGTGATTGCCACACAATATAATGTTGAAGTGGAGTTGGTAAGTAAAAGGAATGTTGTTTCGTTGTTCGACTAATACATTTACATACGTATTTCAGGTTGCTACGGCCATGGTGCTTTGCACATTTATCTCAGCGCCGTTAATGTTCATCTCGGCTAAAATGATCTCACTGACAAATTTGAATCCTGTAGATTATATACATGAGTTGGATGTATTCTCGTTCGACATAAGCGTAGCTGGTGTTGCTGCATGCGGTTGGGTCTTACTATTGCTCGTTGTGACCAAACGTTTCAGACGCATGCCGCAACGTATAACATTTTGCTTGGTGCTTTCACAGTTTATGTGCTGTCTGGCGGTGATCATTTGGGCTAAGTTAGCACATGTTGAAAAGTGGGTGATATACTTGCAGTTTTTCCTCTTTAACATGGGCACATTTAGTAGCCGATTGTGGACAGCCATATTGGCGATAGCATTGCTCTTCCTGCAGTGTCGTAGTTTATGTTTTGTTCTTAAATTGTGGCCTTACATGGTGAGTTCGGAAAATTGAAGGATAAATTGTAATTTTAATTGATATAAATTTTTGTTTATTTCTCAAACAGATTGCCTTCGCATGGGGTGTGCCTGCTATAATCTCAGCGCTGCTCATTGCATTGGACAGACAAATAACATCGCAGGATAGTCACAACCCTAGTTTTCAATATGGCACAGCACAGGCAGCCGTTACCGTTTTTATGCTTGTAATGTGTTTCTTTGGTAAGTAAGAACTGCCAAAACATATCGCAGGTTTTAGTATATATTTTAGTGA